AGATTAAAAATTATGTGGTACAAGACAAATATTTATGATGTTGACTAGTGAGTGTCACGTGTGTGTTAAGCCCCGGATCTTCAGTCCTAAATCTGCCCCTGCCCGTCAGTCCAAACATATGAGGGATACATGTATATAGATTTTATACATGGCCTCAGATAAGAATCTTGTGTCTGTTCTAGTCTTGTTAGATCTCAGTGCTGCCTTTGACACAGTTGATCACAATGTTCTTTTAGAAAGACTTGAACATGTTGTAGGGATCAAAGGAACAGCGTTAGGCTGGTTTAAATCCTACCTGTCTGACAGATTTCATTTTGTAAATGTACATGACGAATCGTCTTCATACTCCAGGGTAACTTGTGGAGTACCACAGGGTTCAGTTCTTGGACCAATTCTTTTTACTATATATATGCTCCCAATTGGTAAAATCATTAGACAGCATGGGATAAACTTCCACTGCTATGCTGATGATACTCAGTTATATTTATCCATTAACCCTGATGAACCCAATCGGTTGGGTAGATTACAGGCTTGTCTTGAAGACATAAAACATTGGATGACTCTAAACTCTTTGCTTTTAAATCAAGACAAGACGGAAGTTCTCATCTTTGGACCAGAAATCCAGAAAAGGAAATTGCTTAGCCAATCACCTGACCTGAATGGCATTACATTAATCTCCGAGAACAAAGTAAGGAACCTTGGTGTTATCTTTGATCAGGACATGTCATTCAAATCCCAGGTTAAACAGGTTTGTAGGATTTCCTTTTTCCACCTTCGGAATGTTGCTAAGATTAGAAGCATACTTTCCAGGAGTGATGCTGAAAAACTAGTTCATGCATTTATTACATCAAGACTGGATTGATGTAATTCATTACTCTCAGGAAGTCCACAGAATGTAGTTAAAAGTCTTCAGCTTGTCCAAAATGCTGCAGCTAGAGTTCTGATGAGAATTAAAAAGAGAGATCATATCTCTCCTGTCTTAGCTTCCCTACATTGGCTACCTGTTAAATTCAGAATAGATTTTAAGATCCTTCTTCTCACATACAAAGCTCTTAACTCTTTCGCTGCCAGCTGTTTCTTGATCGGTAAAGCCCTTCGCTGCCAGCGTTTCTCACCGTTTTTACTTTTTTTTTTAAGAGTCACAGAATGTTGCACGCTAGGATGATTTCAACACCAAAACAACCAAAACAAAGACTTCCGGTATGGCGACAGAGTGAAACAGACGCAAGTGACAAGAGCTCCGTATAACCAACATAAACACGAACTAGAAAACGCCTGAACTGTAAAGGGAAAAATAAGGAAAAGGAAAAGCAACAATGAGCGGAGGTACAACGAATAAAGGGAAGAGCAAAAAGCAGCCAGAAGATCCAAGTAAGGACACAAAGCAGATGCTAACAGTGGGGGCTACAGGAGAGCTAACACGAATAGCTAGTTTGGATAGCATTAGCCTCCAGATACAAACACTAACTGCCGAAATGAAGACCGAACTCCAGGCGAACAAAGAGGAGATTACAACAGAAATGAGAAAGGAGTTGACCGACTTCAAGAGCGATATTAATAAGCTACTTGATAATATGGACAAAGAAATTAAAGAACAAACGAAAAGGATACAAGACGGAGAAACACGAACGGAAGAGCTCGAACAATGGAGCTGTGAAGCTAACGAGGCCATACAGCACATGTTACAACAACAGAAATACATCGGAGACAAACTAGAGGACATCGAAGCAAGAGCAAGGAGGAACAACTTAAGGGTGTATGGAATCAAAGAAAGTAAGGAAGTTAAACCATCCGAATTGAAGGAGACAATAGAAGAATGGCTCAAGAAAGAACTAGGATTAGAAGAAGATCTGCAAATACAAAGCGCACACAGAGCGCAGGCGCCCAAGCCGAAGGAAGGGCAGGCACCCAGATCCATAATAATACAATTCCAGCAAAGTAAAACGAAAGACATGATTCTGAACAAAGCCTGGGAGAAGGGGAAAAAAATTATGTTTGAGGGAGAGGGAGTGTATTTCGATCATGATTACACTGCAAAAGTACTGCAACAGAGAAAGGCGTATCTCCCAATAAAGAAGAAATTAAAAAGCATGAAAATTCGATTCCAAACGCCCTACACTAAAATGCGCATCTTCTGGGAAGACGGAATGAAGAGCTACAACAGCGCGGAGGAGGCGGTGAGGGACCTGAAGTCACGAGGATGCGCAGTGGAAGGACTCCAGATGGCAGAGGAAGAAATGCAAAAGAATAAAGAGGCTAATGCGAAGGGGCCGGCGAGCTGGAAAAAGGTGGGGGATAACGGAATGCTGAGGAACAGAGTCAGAGAACGTCTGCAAGAATACGAACTTAGGAGAAAAAAGACAGAGGGAGGGGAATAAATAAGGGGAAGTATCGCTCTAGGAAAATGAGGCGAACATGTATAAAGGTAAAAAGTTTAAAAATGTTGGTTAACGAGTGTCACTAGGCACGGTTTAGAGTGGAATGACTGAGACAGAAAGGGAGGTAGGGGGGCCCTTCTGGAAAGGAAGGCATTCCCCCCAGAGGAGGGGTAGAGAGTCACAAGAGGGCATCTCAACATGGAAGTTCAAAGGCAGTTACCTTGTAGCAACAGGTTCTAAGTTTGGTTGTTACAAGGAGGGGGTTCTTAAAGGGGGGCGGGGGTACTTTATTTACTTATTCTGTATCAGTATTTTTTTTATTTTTTTCTTTCTTTTTATGTATCTCAAGACTAGAAAGGCCATCTGCAAGGACAAAAGGGAGAACTTACTGAGAGAAAGGGCAAGACACAAGAAGAATAAGAAATGATGTATGATAAAAACCAGGAAATCAAAATAATGTCACTGAATGTAAATGGGCTGGGCAATCCAATAAAAAGAGCGAAAATAATAAATAAAATCAAAAAAGAAAAAATACAAATTAGTTTTCTGCAAGAAACCCACCTATCACAGAAAGAACACGAAAAACTTAAAAAACTTGGGTTTAAAAATACATACTATAGTTCATGTCCCAATAGCCGGAAAAGAGGGGTGGCAATCTTAATATCTAATTCACAGAACTATGAAAATGTAAAAGAGGTCCGAGATAAAGAAGGCCGATTTATCATAATCAAAGGAAAGATAGAAAATGAGATGGTAACACTAGCCAATGTATACGCACCACCAGAAAGTAATAAACAATTTTATGAATATATACTAAATATGTTAGCAATGGAAATGGAGGGGGTTTGTATATGTGGGGGAGACTTTAATTTAATAATGAATTCCCAACTCGATACAACAAGTACTGCAACATATAAAAAAACACTAACCAAATTAATAAATACAATAACTAAAGAAATGGGACTTATAGATATATGGAGAGAAATTAATCCAGCGCAAAAGAACTATACCCACTACTCTGCTCATTATAAAACCTACTCGAGAATTGACTATTTTTTAATACAAAAAGAACATAGATATAAAATAAAGGAATGCGAAATAGGCGGGTCGGATCTATCAGATCATAATGCAATATATCTCAAAATTCAACTAAACAACAAAATTAAAAGGAAAACTTTATGGAAAATGAATACAGGAATACTTAATAATACAATAATGACAACACAGATCAGTAAAAATATTAAGGAATATTTGAGAGAAAATGATAATGGAGAAGTACAGCCAGATATACTGTGGGATGCGATGAAAGCAGTGATCAGAGGGAAATTAATTGCGATTACAAGCAAAATGAAAAGGGATAAGACTAAACAATATGAAAAACTTACAAAGGAACTAGAAGAAATGGAAAAGAAAGAAAAACAGAAAACAGAAACAAAGACACGGGAACAAATAAAAAACATCAGGAACAAAATAAATGAAATGCACCAAAATGAAATAGAAATTAAGGCAAAATATTTAAAACAAAACTACTATGAAGCAGGGCCGAAAGCAATGAGGCTACTAGCAAGAAGAATAAGAAAACAACAAGAACAAAATAACATAAGTAAAATATGCAACCCGAAGACAAAAAAAATAACACACGAACCTAAAGAGATTGAAGAAATATTTAGGGAATATTATAAGGAACTATATACGCAACCGCTAGGAAGCAACAATAACAAAATAGAAGAATTCTTACAAAATTTAGATTTACCATCAATAGGGACAGAACAGAATAAGAATATTACAAAGACAATAACGGAAAAAGAAATAATAGAAGCAATAAATAAACTTAAAACAAATAAGGCACCAGGAAGCGATGGATACCCAGCAGAATGGTATAAAAAATTAAAGCAGGAACTTGTACCAATAATGCATAAAACATACAACTGGATTATGACCAACAATAAAATACCACCAACATGGCAAGAAGCTATTATCTCTGTAATACCTAAGCCACAGAAAAACAAAGAAGAAGCAACAAACTATAGACCGATTTCAATTCTTAATATAGACTACAAAATATATACAACAATAATAACTAATAGAATTAAAGGATTTCTTCCAGATATAATCAATGAGGATCAATGTGGCTTTGTTGTAGAGAGAAAAACGCAAGATAACATACGACGAACACTGCACATAATACAAGAAATTAATTCCAAAAGAATACCGGCAACTATAATAAGCTTTGATGCAGAAAAGGCATTTGATAGGGTAAACTGGGAATTCCTATATGCAACATTAAAAAAATTTGGATTTAATGAACAGACAGTAAACTGTATTAAGGCCCTGTATACAGAACCAAGAGCACGAATTAAAATAAATGGATCAATAACAGATGAGATACAGATAACAAGAGGAACAAGACAGGGCTGTTGTCTCAGCCCTACTCTGTTCGCGCTATATATTGAACCTTTAGCACAGGCAATTAGACAGGAGGATGAAATAAAAGGAATAGAAATTAATAATAAGGAACATTTTGTTGGTCTCTCTTCCTTTAGACCAAGCACGGGTACGGAGTAGATGGAGTTAAACACCTTTAAAGTTGTCAGAACGAGGAGACAAATGATCAGAAGTCCATTCACTGTTTCGCCGCTCATGAGGGGGAGAGTCTCTGCAGCAAGTCCCGCGGCCTGCTCTTGCCAGATGCTTCGGACAGACTCTCGCCGTTCTGCTGAAACGGCTGATTTTTATTGAAGAGTACAGGAATGTAACATACGCAGTTTGCCATGTACATACGTCAATGATCATGACAGGTGAAAATAACAGCCTTGTTAGCGGACAGTTTAATACATCACTAGAACACATCCTTGAGATTACCAGGAACATCCTGATATATTCATGACAGGAGAAGATACATTCACTGGTACCGAGAGGCACTGAGTGGAGATGGAATGTGCACACTCCCTTCTCTTGTGCAGGAGAAGATACACAGCTATTAATCTTTGTGTGAAGGCCTTGAGTATCTGAGCGAGTTTCCATAGCATAGATAATAAAATGAGCTTATAATAATATATGAAAGAGCTTATATGAGAGATATATATTTTCAATCCCCCTTTTGAACTCTTTTAAGAGTTCAATAAAGATATAAGAAATCAAAACAATAACACCAAATTCCATCAAAAAGAATCCAATAAGCAAAGTTTTAAAATACCAATACAAACAACCAATCAGATTACATTTACTCATCTTTCTAGCAGTAAACTAATACAAAAAACATGATCATACTTTCAACTGAACATGTTACAACATGTATGGATCGCATGCAACTCCATATGAGGGCGAAAAACCCTAATTATCATATGTTTATAGGGAAAATTCCCCCATGTCCCCCCATTTGTCATATCTCAATTTTGGGGCGAACACCTGTTGGCATAGAGTGTGCATGCCTAGGACATCAATGATCAAAAGAAATAAAAACAACACAATCAAAAAACTCATAGAAATAAACAGTTTAAGGGATTGTTACAGAAATCACTCAATATTCTCACACTCTAATAACATCTTCTTCATCATGAGAGTCATCACTTTCATCAGAGGGTTCCCCTCCCAAATAGATTTTAGGATTGGCTAGTAACAAGGGCATCTGGATAATTGGGTCAGCAGGTGGAGGGTGTAAAATATTACCCTTGTAAAATAAATGAGGGTGTTAAATACAACCCTTGTAGAATGTTCATAGGGTGGTTACTTCTTCCCCCTGTTGAGGACCCTTCACTGGCTCCAGGCAGCTGCAGGGGGTGATGATGTCATGATTCTCGTCCTGCAGGATGTGGTGGCAGCTTGGCATGCTACTGTAGTCAGCTACTTCTCTTCCTGGTTTTTTGGATCCTTTCTCTGGTTAGGCAGATGTCAGCTGCTTCTCTTCCAGGTTAGGCTCCTCCCGTCCAGCCGGACAGCGTGTGATGTCCTCTCCGTGATCCTGTATGGCCCGGTCCACCTTGGTTCCGTCCACTTCCTTTTGGTGACTTTTAGCAGGACCCAGACGCCTGGCACCGAAGGCGAAGCCTCTTCGTGTGTGTAGTTTTGGTCCAATGAAGGCTTTCTCGGCTTGTGCAGTCCAATTGATCTTGGCAGATAGTTGGTAGGAAGATTCACACTCCGGCCGGACCAGAAGTTCCCCGGACCGATCGCCTAGGGATTAGAGGTTATGCACAAAAATGTCCTAGCTCTTACTGACCCTAGCCTCTGATACCTTCAACATCAGACACATACAGTTACGAACAGCAAGCGCAATTAAAGGTACAGTGACATCACGACATGGACACACAGAGACACACAAACACATACACATGCACATACACAGAGAGAGAGAGGGAGAGAGTAAGAATGTGTGTGGGAGAAAGAAATGAGTGGGATCCACTTCGCCACCAGCATCTCCACCTGTGTCACAGAGAAAAAATTACAAAGAAATTAAAACACAAAGCAAACAACAATAATTCAATGAGTATAAATGATCAAACTAAAATATACAACCATGCATGGGTTTTATAACAGTTCCGGCAACACTGGAGAGGAAGCCTTGTATAATGAATTCTTAAGATGTCCTTCATCAATTAGAGGTTATAGCCAAATTGTTTCAGGATCCTGAAGTTGAATTGGTCAATTTACTCAGAATAGCCCAATGGCTTTGTTGATGTTTCTCAAGGCTCAGCCACGCCCATATAGATAAATAAACAAACAAACAAGACAAACACAGTCAAACACACGGTCCATACACGTCTCTGTGCCCTCACACACCAAGCAAATGTCAGACTGAAGCGAAAGTGTGAAATACTTAACCTAACGCTAAATCAGTGGAAAGAAAAAATAAGACCTAAAGCGTGTAATCAAATTAATCCAACAAAACTTCCCATAACTGCCGTTCTAAACTCATGTTGCGGTGTGATCTCTCCAATTAAAAATTAGGACAACCACTTTTACTATCAATTCAACCAAATAGTTTCAGGTTGTCCCTTACCTAAACTACCTGTCTTTCTTACCTTCTTTCTTTCTTTCTTTCTTTCTTTTTTAGGAACACTACTCGCACAAGAAATCCTAAGAATTAATTCACTACTTAAGGTTAATTCATAAATAACGAAACTGCAGTTACAGGTTTGTTTGTGCATAGTATTGGTAATCAGCAGTTTTTTTCCTTATCTCCTCATCTAGAAGTGTTTCTGTGCTACTCCTCCATCTATAACACAAGTTAGTATCATCCTTAAAGCATCTGAAATTAAGCTGCATTGCTAAATCAATAACGTGATTTGTGCTAAGAAATACTCCCCTATCCTCTTCCTTTTTCCAGTGGCGCTGAATGACAGATTTTAGATCAATTTAACGTTTTATGACTATTACGTTTCATTTAATTAATTTTGCTTTTTCTCTCTTATTTTTATCTATTTATTTATTTATGTTATTTATTTATTTATCATGCCATCCTGTGATGATAATCTTAAAGACTTTTTAGCCAATTGTCGTCAAAAAGGCCAATTAAAAATATTATGTTAAAGATTTCACAAGATAAAAATGTGAACATAATTTTTATCGAATGAGGGGTACAATTATTCAATATTTTTGTGACATTATTTTCTACGTTAGAACTTACAGCTGATAGAAAAATATAGGATCAGCTAGGTTTGGCTAGATCTGTTGGGAAACTCAACGGAGCTGAAACAACACTGTTGTCTCGGATGAGATGTTCCATGAATCATTTAGTCAGCTGAATGCCAAATTATTCATTTAATGTTTATTTTTATGCAATGAATGGAATGGGATGGAACGTTACTATAAACTGTCCGGAAATTTGCGCATGTTTACTCGAAGGAGAGAACTGTTGAAGCCTAAAGCGTTCTCCTAGACTTATAAATAGACACCGTTTCCTTAACCAATGAAAATAAGTGATGACGCTGATGTATTCCGTTTTGAAAAGAAAATAAGGCTTTACTGCATGTCCGCTGCAGCTGAGAATCCTAAGACAATAAAGATTATATTGACGTCCAATGATGAGTTGGGCTGAAATCCAGGTTACTAATCCTATTATTTATTTATTTATTGATATTATTATTATCTTTTTTAGGCTAACTTTCTCAGTTAACTATGTTCTACAGTAGTTTAGTAAATTTTCCACAGTTCTGACATTTCATCAATTCAACTGGTTGTTGCCAAAAAGCCTTGTTCATTACCTGACTGCAGCAAGCACTCTTTTACTGGGTGTAACCATAGGAAACAGTCTCTTTTGAGCCTCTCTTTGTAAGTCCAGGATGACCACCGTCATTGATTAAAGTTCACATGTTAGCACACATGCTCCCCCTTTTGTACTTTGTTTCATCAGCAGCAGGGCAAATAAGTTTCTGCCTCTTTGTCCATCTTGTAGTGCTCCCCGTCTTGATGTTATGAGTCACAGTTTTTGGTGAGGGCTTCCAGGTTCTCTTTGTATAGAAGTCAGACCCAAACATTCTTTGCAGCTGGTTGTGACAGGCCCACCCAGTAAAGTTCATGCCTGCCACAATGCACAGTAAACGTTTTCCTTAAATATGTTGATTGAGTTAAAATGACAGAACTTTCTCTTTTACAAATCAAAATCAACGATGGTTTCTAATATTTAGTCGACTTTATTGACTCAAAGGTAAATCTAGACTACTTCCTATGCACAATTTTTCTGAATCGTCAAATCAGTTCTACACAGGTTTTAAACTTTAGGCACAATCTATCCCAAATGCAAGATCCCTCCTTTCATTTTTTGTTTATCTATTTTATTTTGGGAAAATAACTACCAGTTTTTAACTCAAAACAGCCTAGTACAGTTTCTAGCCAGGTTACAGGAAATAATACTTAGTTTATCTGTTTTTTCATTATTCAGCGTCCCAAAATCCAGCCATTAACGTTAATGGTTCTTAAAGTTGAGGTAAGACAATTATTGGATTTTGTTTTATAGCAAGATTTAACAAATATTTTATTTCCTGACTGATTATTTGTTAATTTTATGGTTTTCATAAAGATGATCCTGAGAGGTTCAGAGCTGCTTTTCGCAGCGCCCTGTGCTATTTTTAGACTGCGGGACTCCTGTGTGTAAAAGTGGGTGGAGTCAGGTCCCCAGGCTGAAACTCCAGTCATTCTCACTAGATCTGTCCGAGAGGAAGGATCTCCTGAATACCCTAACCAGAAGCCTTAAGGTACGTCCAAAACACCGAAAAATATCCTTTCTAAAGTCACAAATTGCTTAAAACTGCATGTTACACAGAAAAACTGTGAGAGCGAGGGAGTCCAGCTGACTCCACGGCCCATAATCAGACAAAATACTTCCTTTATAACCACGACCATACAACTTTTGTATTTTAAGGGATTTTCTTGTCCTCACACTAACGATAAATTCTTTTTCTATTGTTTCCACAGTCTCTTGAACTAAATAACCGTCTAGCAAAAACATGGACCGCACCCTGTTTCTCAAGCAGCTGCTCCCTCTATTAAAAACTGAGTCATTCAGAAGATCCAGCGAAAGCAGCTCATGCAAGAAGACACGCATCCACTCATTCACATGGCACAGACGACATTCTTTGTTTGTCACAGTCTTTTTTTTTTTTTAAAGTAAGTCAGTTCGTCACTTATTTATTCTCTCTCTATATATATATAATATTTTAAGCACAGAATTTATTTTAACACTGCACTGGTTATTTTCAGAATTTAATGCGTACTATGCTTTTAAGCAGGCCTTATGTAACATTAGCGCAAATCCAATTGCAATTTCTTTGAGAGCGCTCTGAGGAATAGTTTATATATTTATTTTCTGCAGATCTGTTTTGATTTTACTGTTTAGCAGCTATATGACTATATTTCTAAAATAAAGCTGTCATTTACATCCTTACTTGCGTTTCTTGGTGGTTTTTTCCCTTTTTTCATCTCCAGGTCACTTAACCCCCAGATCGGGGTCACTCACATGCTGCCCCACACACAAATGATTATCACGCTTCTACACTACATATGTATATATGTATACACATATACATACATACACACATACATATGCATATGTTACTTTAAAAACCTTTTATTTATTAACTTATGGTGTTCTGTTCAAAGACTGATCAGAACAGGGTTGCAGAATTTGAATTTTGCGTAGCTCCAAACATTAATTTTAGCACTGCAGTGTAATTTACATAGACGAGTTGCAACTTTTTAAAGCTCTTATTTATCTTATTTATTTATTTTCTGGTACCGCATCAGGCCTTCACACACACACCCAGCGCTGTACACTCACACACACACACACACGGAGCTCCCAAAACTCTGCTCTGCATTCTGCACTCTCCTAGTGCTGCACTTTCAATCCAGAGCCGTAAGCAGCCTCTTGCTGCGCCTCACACACACAGGCTGAACTCAGCTTACACACACAGTGAAGCTTGTCTACAGCTGTGCCTTTTTCCTCTTGATTCTGCAGCCTTCACTTCCCAAATCTTGCTCCAGTTACCTCTACTGTTAACATCTACCCCTTTTCCTTCATCGCCTTTTCTGCTGACTTTCTCAATAAAACCTCATTTCTCGTGGCTTCAACTGGGCTGCTTGTCATATTTAAACATTGCTCATTTTATGCAAAAACAGCCAAAAGCACGCAGAAATAGCCAAAAGCACTGCTCTCTTCACACAGAAGCAGTCAAAACATTTATCATCTTATGCAAAAACAGTTACCTCAGAACATTTTTCTCATCTCATGCAAAAGGTCCTTGACCTTAAAAATCCAGGGAGCTCTCTTTTAGCCTCCCCTTCCCTTAACACAAAAAACCAGGTCCTTGACCTTAAAATCCAGGGAGCTCTCTTTTAGCCTCCCCTTCCCTTAACACAAAAAAAACCAGGTCCTTGACCTGTGGACTTTTAGGGTTCCCACACCTATGGATCCAGCCAAGCTTTATATAACCTTGTTATATATTCTATCCGCTCGTCAGCAAATAGTGTGGTCAGCCACGACCTGGAAATGGAACTTTAGGGCTACTCTATTAGCCCTGGGTCACCATCCCTTCATCTGTACTATTTCCTTTTCTCATTTACTCATTAAACCATTAGAAAAATCCTCATTTCATTTCACCATTAAACCATTACAAAAAATCTCTTATTCTTTCTGCACTTGTCTCCACTTTCTTCTCCAACTATTATTTTAGGACCTCAGCTACTATGATTCTGGACACAAAGGCTTTGGATAAATCCAATGAGCAGATTTTAGATAATAGGCTCTGCTCACCTTGTTTTCCACCGCGGTGTTCTGTGCCAAGATCTGTTCGCTGGGTCGGTTGGTCAAATTGTCCTCCAAAAACTCCTTTTTCTTCAAAAAGAAAAAATCCTGTTCGTGACGCCAAATTTGTTGGTCTCTCTTCCTTTAGACCAAGCACGGGTACGGAGTAGATGGAGTTAAACACCTTTAAAGTTGTCAGAACGAGGAGACAAATGATCAGAAGTCCATTCACTGTTTCGCCGCTCATGAGGGGGAGAGTCTCTGCAGCAAGTCCCGCGGCCTGCTCTTGCCAGATGCTTCGGACAGACTCTCGCCGTTCTGCTGAAACGGCTGATTTTTATTGAAGAGTACAGGAATGTAACATACGCAGTTTGCCATGTACATACGTCAATGATCATGACAGGTGAAAATAACAGCCTTGTTAGCGGACAGTTTAATACATCACTAGAACACATCCTTGAGATTACCAGGAACATCCTGATATATTCATGACAGGAGAAGATACATTCACTGGTACCGAGAGGCACTGAGTGGAGATGGAATGTGCACACTCCCTTCTCTTGTGCAGGAGAAGATACACAGCTATTAATCTTTGTGTGAAGGCCTTGAGTATCTGAGCGAGTTTCCATAGCATAGATAATAAAATGAGCTTATAATAATATATGAAAGAGCTTATATGAGAGATATATATTTTCAATACCATAAGCCTCTTTGCAGACGATATATTCATATACATAAACAGTCCGACTAATAACCTAAGGAACCTATTGGGACTAATGAGAGCCTATGGGGAACACTCAGGATATAAGATTAACATACATAAAACACAGGCATTGTTATATGATCACACACTAAAAACAGAATTGATCAAATATAAGATTAAATGGGACAATACCCACATTAAGTACTTAGGAGTCAACATAACTAAAGACCTGAAGAATCTATTTCAACAAAATTATGAGGAATTAAATCAAACGATTAACGCAGACCTAAACAGATGGACATCCTATCCATTACAACTATACGACAGAATAAACATTATCAAAATGAATATCTTGCCACGACTCTTATATATGTTTCAATCCCTCCCAATACAAATACCAACAATACAATTCAATAAATGGAATAAACAATTATCAAGATTTATTTGGAAAAGCAAAAAACCAAGAATTAGAAGGTCTACCCTACAACTAGCAAAAGAACAGGGAGGGAGGGCTGTGCCAAATATATACCATTACTATCAGGCAGCACAAATAGCACCACTCGTCGATTGGTGTGACCCGCAAAACTTGAACCACTGGAAAATAATAGAGACAAAGAGAAAGGAAATACCAATCCAAACATTACTGGGGGAAAATACCAGAAAAGAATACTGGACGAAAAATATTGAAAAACTGGACCCGATAACTAAGTTTAGTTTAGAAACCTGGTGGAACATAAGCAAGAAACTAAAAATAGAGGGAGAGCTAAGATTGCTAAGATGGATAGGGTGGGACTCGGACTTTGAACCTGGAAAAAGGGATAATAGATTCAAAAAATGGAATGAGACAGGAATGACAGCATTAGGAATAATTCAGAAAGAAGGGATGATAAACAGTTTCCAAGAATTGAAAGAAAAATTTGACGTGGAAAATAAGGATATGTTTAGATATTTACAACTAAGAGATTACTACACTAACAGAATTCAAAGGAAAATTCGAGGGAATAATCAAATAATAACAATGATGATCCAAACATATACAAATCCAGCACCTAAACGGAAATTATCCATAATATATAAAACATTAATGACGATAGAAAACCACTCAACACAGTATATCAAAGAAAAATGGGCAAAAGAAATTAGGGAAGAAATACTGGACGGGGAATGGGAGGAGATGTGGAAAACACAAAATAGGACAACACAATCACAAAAATGGAGGGAATTTGCCTGGCAGAACCAAATACGATACTTCAGCACACCGAAAATCATAAGTAAACAAATACAAAAACAAACGAGATGTTGGAGGAATTGTGGAAATATAGAATCCAATCACGCCCACATATTTTGGGAATGCAAGAACATAAAACCTTTTTGGAATCAAATATATGAGAACACCAAAATAATATTAGGATATTATTTTCCACAGACATTTAAATTAATGTACCTAGGATCCATACGGGAAGAAATAGCGGGGGGAGACCAATATCTGATTAGGATACTCATGATAGCAGCCAAGAAAGCCATCACTAGAAAATGGTCCAGACCAGAGACCCCAACAATAGAAGAATGGAAGACAATTGTTGGAGAAATACAGGAAATGGAGAAGCTGACATTTAGACTAAGACTGAAAGGGGAACAAATGCATAAACGATGGGCTAAATGGAGACATACAGATATATAGAACTGGAGAGAAAGAAGAAATCTGCAGATGAGCCGACCTTTTGATTTATTTATATATGGTTTTTTTTTTTTTTTTTTTTTTTTTTTTAAATCTTTTTATTATTATTATTTTTTCTTTCTTATTTATTTTGTTTTTCTGTCGTCTTTTTTTTCTTTTCGTTTTGTATGCATTGTAAGTACTCAAAAGAAGGAGAAGAAAAATGAATGATTAGAAAGAGAAAACAAGCCAAGAAGATAGAAATAGAAAAACAGGTTAATCGGGGAAGGAAGAACAACGGACACGGAAGGGAATGAGAAGACAAGAAGACAAAGGTAAAGAATGGACAGAATAACGGCGGAAGAGCACAAACAAAGAAAGACTTCTAGAAAACGAACGAGGGGAAATGAACAGAACTCAATGATAAAAATATGATGAATGCTGAGTACGAAGGGGAATGTGTTTGTAAAGTAAAAGTTGATAAATAAAAAGTTAAAAAAAAAAAAAAACAACCAAAACAAAGAGGAGACTCACCTCTTACATCAGGAAGAATCCGCGCGTCTCGAGCGTTATTCGTTCTTTCATAATCCATAGTTGAATTGTGATTGGCAGAAGCTTTTCCGGTTTGCGCCTCACCTTTTTTTTACAGCAGCGGCCCAAAACGATCTCCTAGCACATGGATTTTCTGCTTCCTGATCACGTGACGTGTGACGTACGCGGATGAAAATTGGCTTTAGAGCTGAGATGTTTGTTCTCACGGTGCGGGGGCTCGTTCTGATGCCCACACAGTAAAAAAAATGCAAATGACAACTTTAGTCGTCATTGGCAGCGAATGAGATAATAATCAAGCTCCATCAAACATGAGTGACCTGATTGTTCTTTCCTATCTAAGCACTTCGCTCTCACACTGCTGGTTTACTGGTGGTTCCCTAACACCTGAGTACAGCCACAGACTGATGGAGTCCATGCCACGCTGCAGTGATCCAGGCCAAAAGAGTCCTAACTAAATACTGAGTGCTGTACGTGTTCATACTTTTCATTTGGCCAACATTTCTAAAATTCCTTTTCCAGCCTTGATATCTAATATTCTGAGATACTGAGTGCTGGATTTCATTAGCTGTCAGTTAAAATCACTAAAATGAAAGAAACATTTAAAATATATCAGTCTGCATGTGATGAATGAATCCAATATACAAGTTTCACTTTTTGAGTAAAATTACTGAAATAAACCGTCTTTGTCACGATATTCAAGTCTTATGGCCAGATCTACGGTGGGACGTGAAGGAGGCTCGGTCCTGTTCTGGACCTGCTGTGTTGCATCTGGACCTGCTCAGAATTCCCGAGACTATTCAGACCTTCTGGATCCAGATTGTCTGTTATTCTCAGGTTACGGGTCCTCCAGCAGGAAAACACACACAAACTCCAAGAATGGATCAGAACCGGGGATGCACTAATCAGAACATTTGGACCATATCCAGTTATAACTGTGCAGAGGGAACGGACGGTCAGAGGCTGGGTTATGATCCAGTCATGTAGAACCAGGATCGAAGGGGAATCTCATTTATCGGCGGCCATCAGTATGTGAACAGCATGTAAAGCAATATGGCAAAAGGTGCTCCATCAGAACATCTGCCCACCTTTAACACTCCTGCATCGGGCTAAAATGGCTGCAGCGTTAGCCTCCCGTGTGTGTGTGAGCGCCTGGATGGTTTTAAATGACTGCTCATCTATACCGACTTCACTTCTCTGCTTTGGTCCACCAGCCCATAATCCTGTGCTACATCACCGTCACGGTCACGTGACCAAGCCTCTCCACTCCTACAGGTACATGAACAACAAGATGGAAATGAACACTTGTTAATATTGGCCCAAGTGGACTTATTTGGGCTGATGCTGATCTAGATCCTGCTGAACATCTGTGGAAGGAGCTAAAACATCTGGAGCAGGAGTCTGGCAGACCCGAGTCAGCTGAAAAGCTGAAGAAACGCTCCCATCAGCCCACCTTCCTCCTGATGCAACCTTCCATGTTAGGAAAATCTTGTCCAGTTGAACGTTTCGGTCTTCTGCAGAACGTTTCAGCGACACACGTCCTGACGGATGGAAGAGCGACCCCGCAGCCCCCGGTAACACAACACATGTTGTTTTAAGGTAAACAACCAGTAAACAGACGTTCACAGTCTGAAACAAGTCTGGCTGCAGAACTAAACGGAGATGCGGGTCCGTCGTGGAGACAAGAAGCCAGCTGATACATAAACTTTATTATAGCAATTTTCTTCTCACCAACAGATCAACACAATGTTCTTAACACCGTAGCTTCTTTGTCTTAAATACTCTCTGCTTTAAAGAAAAACTGTAAAAATATCTAATTATAACTCAAATCTGTGAGGGGACAGAACAGGACAGGGACGAACGGCAGTGGTCCAACAGGTGGGCCTTGCTGAGAGGACTGGGTCCAGTGGGGGTTTCACCGAGAAGACCTGGTGGTGTTACCATTTAAAGTGAACCTGGAGGGGAAAGGACAAGCAGCAGATCAGTACTGAGGGGTTTACCTGCTGCGTGGCATCACCTGCTGCCTCACCTGCACAGTCTCTCCATCATGTGTTTGATGAGGCGGTCCGAGATGCCTGGATCGGACTCCTCCGCTAGGCTAAAGGCGTTTTCCAGCTCCTCGATGGCTCCGACTCCTCCACTGTTAGCCCGCCGCTTGTCCTTCAGCTAGGGGTGGAGGAAAGTTAAAATGCTGTTAAACTCTAACTCGTGCAGAGAGACCGGTGCAGGCAGGTTAGAGTCACGAGAGAGGAAGAGAAATGATCCGTCAGACATGAGGAAATTTAATATAAGAGCTCAAGAAGCAAGTAAAATACATCCGTTTGTGGGACATGATGTAAATGTGCCGTTGTCATGGTAGCTGGGGTCTACCTCTCTGAAGATGGGCGTCACCACGGTCAGCAAGCTCTGAGACTTCGGCTGTGGCTTCAGAGAATCTGCAGACTGAAACGGGAGACACGTGACCACTAGAAGGGGTGTGTGTGTGTGTGTGTGTGTGTGTGTGTGTGTGTGTGTGTGTGTGTGTGTGTGTCACCTCTGAATCAGTGTGTGTGTGTGTGTGTGTGTGTGTGTGTGTGTGTGTGTGTGTGTGTGTGTGTGTGTGTGTGTGTGTGTGTGTGTCACCTCTGAATCAGTGTGTGTGTAGTCTTTCTGTAGCTGGCTCAGAGTGGTGGGTTTGACTGTGGGGAAGGTCCATGTGGGATGTGGCTCAACATCATCTGGATCTCTGCAGGATAACAGAACGGAGTTTATTAATCCCACAGCGGGGAACGTCACGTGTGACCGCAGCAGCAGCACCGGAGAGAATAATCAGAAGAGAAATAACAACAAAGGTACATGTTTATACACACACACGAGCTATTCCTCAAGCTTCTCCGTGTCTGTTGCTAGATGTCTGGAGAAGGACCTGGCTGCAGCACGCAGAAAGGGCCGGCATCGGGCCAGTTGTCAGACCATATTTGGAAAAAGCAGCACTTACGTTCCAGAACTGAAGGGGGCGCTATAACTAATATCACCTACAACACAAGACTGAGGAGGACGGAGAGGTTGGTTGAACAGTTTTAGTAAAGGTTCCACATACTTTTAGGGATGTTGTACCTTGTAATATTATCATTTCCTCTTAAGAAATACCCCAAACCCTATTTTGGCTGCATTCATGCATTTTCCTGTCTCAACTGAAATGTGGTCGTTGTAAAGATTTTTCCTGCAAATGGGAGGAAGTAGCCCACTCACAGGCCTTCCTCCCCCTGAAGCTAGTCTGGTCTCACTTCTGAAACCGGGATTTTCCGTAGATATTCTACTGGAACGCCGCCGTAAAGACCAAACATCCCGTCTGCAAAGACACACGTGATGGTAACGGGGACGTGGGCTAGACACCACATGCAGCGGTGTAGTGGTTACAGTGGTAGACTGGTGTAGTTTAGCACAGGGTTGCCTCCCGGTCGCGGCATTAACCTTTTTATTTTTATTATGTGGCAACACTTGCCAGTTTTATGTTTTCAACCCTTTATTGGTAAACTGTTTAAAATATAAGGACTAATCTGTTTGTTCTTTATTCTCTGGATTTATTTAGCCAGTGTGGGTGAATAACACCACCGGACCACCAGAGGTAATACAAAATACAACTTGGAGCCTTCATGGGCAGAGATTCGCTGAAAGGAACCTTTTCATTTGGGATATAAATTCAGACCTCGTCATGTAGTAAATTATATTCATCTAGCTTAATTTGAACATAAAACAGAGTATTAGCTATTATAAACTAGTAACAGACGTAGTTCATACGGGTCTGACAACTGGCCTGGCTCCGCCCCTTTCTGCATGCTGCAGCCAGGTGTCCTTGGATATCTTCGACTCTCTCTAGGTTTTTGAGAACGCAATGATGGTGAGTAAGTTAAGCTTAAGGGACACAGAAGTACTATGTAAATCAGATATTGCACAAGTATTGAACACATACCGAGTATTAGATTGATGTTATATGCAGGGCCGTGCTGAGACCTTTGAAGGGGCGGGTGCTCAAAGTTAAAAAGGGGCACATATAGAGCAAAACTTTAAACAGATTCATGATCCAACAAGTTTGCAAACTTAGATGATGAGACTCTTGGGTTCAAACTACATAACAATTAGTGTCCATAACTGAAGGTAATGTTAGTTCATAAACAATCGTTTTAGTTGTTAAAGCTGCCCGCCATGGAATTAGGTCAGGGGTCGGCAACCTGTTCCCATCAAAGAGCCATTATTACCCGTTTCCCACAGTAAAGAAAACACTGGGAGCCACAGCAGCCGTGGCGTTGTGGGCGGGGCCTACCCTCAGCAGAGAGCTGCTTTAACCAATCACAACAGGTGACAGCAGCCGGTACCGGTCGCTCGTGCACGTCAAAGCTATCTTTCATAAGACGATAATCAATAAAATGATTTATATAAATTGGATCCAGAAGTTGTAGCCCGTCTCTGCCGACAATATTTAGATATTTTTCACCCTGTTGGTGGTTTTACTGAGCAGGTGCCACTTTTGTCATACGTTTCTTTTTAAAACATGTTTAGACTGTTCAGAATACAAATCCAGGCTCTGTCACGTTTGATTGTTGTAATTAAACTTTGTAGGTGGGGAAGGTCAGAAAAGGATCCGATCATTTTGTTTTTCCCTCATGCAGATGATCAGATCATCTCCATGTGGTTCTCCGATCTCCCGTTACGGTTCGATCAGTTTCTTTCTGTGATGCAGCAGCAGGTTTCCTGCTAATTGATATTTGGAGAAACATGAATGTAAAAGCTCATTTGATGTACTTTTAGAAACTGTTGGAATTATTTTAATTCGATGAGAGTGAGAGATATCAACATCTGTGATTCACTGCTCTGTGAGTTGTCGTAGACATTGTAACCCAGAAGCTAGAACCTTAATGAGGTATTAACTAATTGGCTTACTAATATGATCCATCCTCAATTTAGATAAAATATAAAATATAAATTAAGGAAATTAACAATACTAATTAATAGATATCTAATTAACTAATAGATAATTTCATAATGAATTATTGGAAGGGTGAATAACTAAAATAACGAGTTTAATATTAAACATCGGTTAAAACAAGAATCTTGAACATCACTAACAGAAACAGAAGAGGAAAGCTGTATACTATTGGTCCAGGTGGGAATCTGAAATTTCATTGGCTGAGAGAAATAAGTCCCGCCTCCGCGAAATAAAACCGTGCGACGCAGCTGAGCGAGAGGAGAGACAAACGGCTGTGCAGCACGCAGATACAGAAAGCAAAGACTGAGCGGTTAGAGAGAGAGAGAGAAAAAAAAAACAACGGTCGAGGCCGTGAAGAACCCCGATTTGGGTGCCGCATAGATAGAGGGAGAGGCGGACTTGACTCCTTCTAATAAGAGCTAGGAACTTGGAACCAACGCGGTGAGTAAAGAAAAAAGAAGAGAAAAAGCTAACGATGCAACTTAAAAAAAAAAAAGGAAACTTAAATAGCTTATCAAATTAATTCCATTCTTATAGATTTGTGTGGAGACGACAGAGTGAACCAATCCTCTGTAGGAGGGAACCGTTGGAGCGCGTTGGTGAGTGAATGAGATTAAATTCAGTAAATTATTAAATTCAAAAAGCTAATTACAGCAACCGAGGTGACAGCAGTGGGCTGCTAGACGTTAGATCCCAGGAGTTAACATCTCAAACTACCAGTTAACGGTGGTAGGGCATATAGGAGTTAACGGCTCAAACCGCCAGTTAACGGCGGTACGGCATATGGGATTCCCAGGAGTTAACGGCTCAAACCGCCAGTTAATGGTGGTACGGCCTAGATGTACAAGGTCCTCAGGGGCGTTATAGCTAACGCCATAGAATTAGCAATGCGTCCCTTAACCAAACATTTAATAATAAAAAAAAATAGATAAATAAAAATAAATAAAAGCTAACTGATTAGGGAGGAATTATTTTACAAAGGTGGACCAAAGGACCAGAATTTATATTTTGTTTAATTTTGTTATAGAAAATTTTATTTATTTATTTGTTTGTTTATTTATTTATTTATTTATTGTGTTACAGATATACAAGGTGTCACAATGCTGTATAGAAACACAACTAAATGTATCCTCAATCCATCAAGTAACTGAAGAGCAGACTGCTCTCTTCTGTGAACAATCTCAACAGTGCGGTAGGAAAAAATCGCACCACCGGACTCTGACTTTCACCCCAAGCGTGGGGATTTGACTTGACGCCGGCTGACTTGTGACTCATATGATCAAATCTCATACCGAGCAATTTACTATTGTCGATTGTTTTCATCTGTTTTTGTGTGTTATCTTTATGTGTTATATTTCCCATTATTATTAAAATTTAGTATATAAACCGTTTCATGCTATACCCGTGACTCCAGTCATTCTTAAACAACCTCCAATTCTCCCCGAACCTAATTATTGGCCCATTTGTTTATTTTTTCTTTTAATTATCTTATTGTATCCTGTAATCCGGTTACAACATCTTTAGCCCTTTAAGCTCTTTCTGGACTCATCTCTGACCCTCTTTGTCTCCAGCCATTTAAGTATTTTTCTTATCGTTCAGCAGGGATTTCAGCTCAGGGGTCAACCAGAGTCTATTATTCGAGAAACACCTCACTCTTCGTGTTGGGATGGCGTTGTCTACACAGAACTTCACATAGTCAGTGACAGAGTGGGTCAGGCTGCAGAGTGTCTCCAAGTCTGTAGCCCCTTTTATAGACAAACCTTGCCGGCGAATAGGCATAATATTACAGCTTAAACAGGTGAGTCTTCAGCTGCTTTTTAAAGGAGACCACTGAGTCCACTGATCTCAGGCTCAGGGGGAGAGAGGTCCGGAGTCTGGGGGCCACAGCAGCAAATGATCTGTTACCTTTGGTCTTTAGCCTGGTGCTGCACAACCAGTAGGCTTTGATCACTGGACCTCAGGGACCTGCTGGGGGTGTAGGGACTAGGAAGATCACCAATGTAAGATGGTGCTTGTCCATGTAAGGCCCTATAGACCAGAACCAGGATCTTGAAATGAACCCTGACGTTGACTGGCAGCCAGTGAAGCTGGAGGAGAAGCGGGGTGATGTGGGTGTGTTTGGAGGACTTGGTCAGAAGCCGAGCACAGGCGTTCTGAACCACCTGTAGACGGTTCAGGGAGGCTCTGCTCAGACACGTGAAAAGAGAGTTACAGTAGTCTAAGCGTGAGGAGATGAAGGTGTGGAGAACTGTCTCAAGTTCAGACCGAGACAGAATGGGACTCAGCTTAGCAACATTCCTGAGATGGAAGAAGGAAGAGCGAACAAGAGAACTGACATGAGAATCCAGGGTGAGAGCTGGGTCAAAGGTCACACCAAGATTCCTGACAGAGGGTTTGGTGTGAGAAGCAAGCTGACCAAAAGAGTCAACTTTCCCAACCATCCAGGCTTTGATAGAGTCTAAGCAGGTGTGTAACAGCTGCAGCTTAGACATCTCATGGGGCTTAAAGGAGATGTACAGCTGGATGTCATCTGCATAAAGATGGTAGGAGATTCCTTTGAAGGAGCTCAGGATGTGCTGAAGAGGAAGCAGAAAGAGGAGGAAGAGTAGAGGCCCCAGCACAGAACCTTGCAGTAAGTCGGTACCTCCCCAGTCAGTATTCTCACGGTGTGGTACTGGTTTACTGTTATTTAGTTTACAGTTATGAATCATAAAACATCCACAAGGAACCCAAACAGCCCCTGCCTGGTGTGTGAGTCACTTTTGAACAGACTCACATATCCGAGTCGTCAGAGCTGGATTCCTCCCCGTGTCCCTCGGATTTCCAGCGGCGGTAACGATCTATCAGTTCGGTCAGGTATGCTGTCTTCTTGGTGTAACGTGTGATGAACTTGTGCTTCAGGAGCTCTTTGGCGGTTGGTCTCTGTGGAGAGCAGCAGGAGTCAGAATGAAAGAGCAGCCATGAAGCTTCTAATGAATAACTCATCGCCCTGTTCTTAAATCTAGCTCAGAACAAACCAGTTGGTGTTAGAGAAAAAGAAGTCTGGCCCAGAGTCTGGGAGGATAAAGGTCTGGTTTACATAGCAACACAGATGTAAAGCTTGGTTTATGCTTGACACATTCACTTTCCGCGCGGTGATGCGGCTCGCAGCTGGAACGCGCTTCACAACTCGCAGCGTTTATGGTTCATGCGGCTCGTCTCTGCGGTGAGCCAATATTCTCCCAAACTGAAGGGGGCAGCATGGAGCTCTACGGCATGCATCCAACACTACATCATAGTAGAAGTAGAAATCACTGTTTACAACATGGCATTCCAGCATTTTTAACAGCGTTCTCGTCTTTTCCGACAGTGCGAGCTATTTCTCTCCAAGAATTATTAACAACATGTTGATCACGGTGATCTCTGAGAGCTGAATCATACAAATGTCTGTATTTACCAACCTCTGCCATGCCGGTCCGCCATGTTTTTCCGCGTCCGACCGTCCGCGTGGTTAGAAATTTTCCGAGGTGCGCGTTGCGGAAATCTTGGGCCGTGCGGAGACGCGGTGGAGGGGCGTGGTTGTTAAAATGACGCAAAATGACGCAACTTTTCCGCGCGGAGCCATGCGGACCTCGCGGACGCGTCAAGCATAAACCAACCTTTACTCTGTTTTCTACTTTATCAGACAAGCTCGAGTGGCTCAGTCTGCAGACGGCCTTCACTCACAAAACGGGGGTCTTTATTCAAGCAGGCCTCCACAAACTCTTTGAAGGGCTTGCTGTACTGGCCTTCCAGTGTGGGGGGAGGGTTTTTGGGGATGAGGAACAGGACCCTCATGGGATGGAGGTCAGAGTTGGGTGGTTCCCCTTTGGCTAATTCAATGGCAGTTATTCCCAAAGACCAGATATCCGCCTGAATGGGAGAGAAAACACGTGATAAATAACGGTCAGATTTTCATTTGAAATGTTATTTATGAGATGAGTTTATGGAAAGCGCACATGCCTACATGACCAGAGCTTGTGATGCTAACTGGGAGCAGCTCATCTGCCTTCCCGCTCACAGTCTCACCTTGAAGTCGTACGCTGACTGTTTGATGACCTCTGGGGCCATCCAGAAGGGGGTACCAACAAACGTGTTCCTCTTGATCTGAGTGTCTGTCAACTGTCCCGCTACTCCAAAGTCTGCAAGCTTCACGTCCCCTTGTTCCGACAGGAGCACATTGGCAGCTAGGGGAAGAAAAAAAAAACTGCTCTGGTGGGTTGATCATGTAAACAGAAGTCATGATAAAGCCGAAGAACAAGCACCTACATCATAGGGCTGGGCGATATGGCCTCAGATCTATATTGCGATATAATCTGAAGCTTTTTCTCGACCGGAAAAGGGTGGCTTGCCACCTCCGGGTCGGGGGAGAGGTCCTACCTCAAGTGGAGGAGTTTAAGTATCTCGGGGTCTTGTTCACGAGTGAGGGTAGGAGGGATCGGGAGATCGACAGGCAGATTGGTTCGGCGTCTGCAGTGATGCGGACGCTGAGCCGATCTGTCGTGGTGAAGAGGGAGCTGAGCCAGAAAGCCAGGCTCTCGATTTACCGGTCGATCTACGTCCCAATCCTCACCTATGGTCATGAGCTTTGGGTAATGACCGAAAGAACGAGATCGCGGATACAAGCGGCCGAAATGAGTTTCCTCCGTAGGGTGGCCGGGCTCAGCCTTAGAGATAGGGTGAGGAGCTCGGACACTCGGGAGGGACTCGGAGTAGAACCGCTGCTCCTCCGGATCGAAAGGAGTCAGTTGAGGTGGTTTGGGCATCTGGTCAGGATGCCTCCTGGACGCCTCCCCGGGGAGGTGTTTCGGGCATGTCCTGCCGGCAGGAGGCCCCCGGGTCGACCCAGGACACGTTGGAGAGGTTACATCTCCAATCTGGTCCGGGAACGCCTTGGGGTCCTGCCGGAGGAGCTGGTGGAGGTGGCCGGGGAGAGGACGGCCTGGAGCTCCCTAGTTGGGATGCTGCCCCCGCGACCCGAACTCAGATAAGCGAAGGAAGACGACGACGACGAATCTGAAGCATGTGCGGTAACGATGTGTATATTGCGATATATTTTTTTCCTCTGTTTATACATGTCAAAATGACATGCTTTTAAATATCCTCAAGTGGCAAATATATGCTAGGTGGCTAGGGGGTGCTATAGCTACCCCTGGATTAGTCATTGCACCTCCAAGTAAATATTAGAATTTATTTATTTTATTTTTTTTACAATTTAATTTTAATTCAACGTGTGGATGTGATAATATTTAACATACAAAACAAAAATAATCAGTAAATTATCATATAGACATATAGACAGCACAGGCTGCATGGTGGCGCAGTGGTTAGCACTGTTGCCTCGCAGCACGAAGGCTGCAGGTTTGAAACTCGGCTGCAGCCTGCGTGGAGTTGCGTGTTCTCCCCATGCGTGCGTGGGTTTCCTCCGGGTACTCCGGTTTCCCCCACAGATCACAACATGCCCTATAGGTTATAAGTTGTAAGCTGCTTTGGATAAAAGCGTCTGCTAAATGAATAAACTTAAACATAAACATATAGATAGTAAAAACTTAAACCAAAACAGGAAATTGATGTTAACCTTTGACCTCATTTTCCACCTGTGAACGAGTGAAAGGTAGAGCTAGCGGTAAGATGGATCGGTTTTTGTTGCCCACATTTCCACGGGTTCAGTCAGAAACGAATGAATCTTTGGAAGTGATCTCAGACCCACATAAACCTACGGATCTGGATGAAGAGAGTCAACCCTCAACCGCTGCAGCAGTCCAAGGTTTAGCCGCTGGAAATGCTAATGCTAACGTTAGCTAACCTTACAACTCTATAGATGGTTTTCTGTGTGGCTGTATGTGTTTATGATTTCATGGAAAAGTCCGCGATTGTTCATATGTTTATGATGTATATTAATGATTGTTTCAGGTGTTGTTGAGGTGTTGTGCACACATGTGTATCTGCTAGTGTTGAAGGTGTTTTAGAGAACAATAGGTACGCATGACCACTTCCTTCATAGCACCTGCAGAAAAACATTTCTGGAGCGGCCACTGCTTGTGAGCCTGCTACCCGCTAGCATTAGCAAATCTGCCGGTAGTTTCTCTTTTCATCCCAAACTTTGGACCGTCTCTGCCTTTGTGTCTTTGCTGGTTTCTCTGTTTTCATCCACCGATTAGCACACTGTGCGCCAGTAAAAGGCATTCCTTCACAATACGGAGCAGCGTTCTGGAGAAAAAAAGTCACTTGAAAAGATGTCGCACGAGTGCTACGTCTAAAAAAT